TTCGGGCAGAAGGCAACTTTACTGTGTAACGACACGTCATCTTTACAGGACTTCCGCAGCGACAGAGGAGGAGGAAGAACAGACATGGAGAATCTCACATCATCCCTTAAATGCATGTGTTCCTTGCTTCTGCTCATAGGCCAAGACAGCCCACAGGCCATGCCTGACTTCAAGGGGTCTAGGAAAGCGATCCTCTTTCTCCTGGAAGGAGAAGGGACCTGGCAACATCGGCAGGCAGCACTCACGTCCACACACGTGCAAACCCAACGTGCCCGATTCTAAAGCTCACGGGGCTTGCCCCACCATTTTTGAAAGCACGGGGCCCCAAAGTTTTTGTTTTGATGAATGCACTCTTTCACTCCAGTTTCAAGGTATTCCCTAATACCCGGGGAACAGTGCCAGTGGCCTCTGGGGCTTCTGATGTGTAACTGTTTTGCTGTGTTCCTCAAATTACATGTTTTCTAACAAGTTACAGATAAGAGGAATTTTTGTAAATTACTTATACATGATTATAACAATGATAAATTGTTTTCAATGGAGACAATACACTACAAGTATTAAACTAGATTTTTTGTTTCTTTCCTGTACTTTCTTCCTTTCCTTCATCATTCTTTAGATATTCCTTTGTGTAGTCTTTTTGATGTGGGGCAAGAGGAGGTAAATGAATGAGGGAACGAATAAACGAATGAGGTGACTTCTTTAGCGAGACAATGTGTTTGAAATTAGGCTATGAACAGAACGTGGATTTTCTAAATTCCTTTCATACATAAGGGGCTCAGCCAAGCGTTCCTTCTGTAGGTAACATGCTGCTCCCTACTGGGCGGCTAGATATTGAGGCTGCTGCCCAAAGGTAGAGGACAAGGCTACGCAGTAGACAAAGAAATAAAAAATAGTCACCCCTTCTGCCCCGAAGAATTATGGGTTGCACAGGGGAAAGAGACTGGCAGATGGGGTTGATCAGCATGTACCTCTCTCCCTCTTATAATTGGGAGCACAGCAATTTTAAAAAAGGATGTAGACACGGACCTGGGAGGAGAGGCTAAGAACCAATTTTCTATGATAAGGCAATACCATAACAGCTACATTTAGTGGCCCAGACATTGTGTTAAGTGCCTCATATGTATGACTTCATTCAACCCTCACAAACACACTATTATTATTACTTCCTTTTAGCTGATAAAGAAACTGGAGCTTAGGAAAAGCGTATGACTGGCCAAATCCATACTAGTTTGTTAACTGACAGAACCAGGATTTGAACCCAGATATGTCTAAAGAGCCCATGCCCTAACCACTATGCTATAATATTACTTTCAGTAATAGCTGATCTAGAATTGAGTTGATTTTTGTACAGGGTGGTATGAATTATGTAGTCTGCTTTGTCTTAGGGCTCTCTGATGTGTTTCTTTAAATATAGTGGAAATGTCAAGTCATAATAAAAATGTGACATTAACGTTACCTCCAAAGGTGCTGAGTGCAAGACACTAACAATTTAATAAGTTCGGGCTTCTGCATTGACCTATGTTAATGTATGATTTCATGCTATTTTGCATGGCAAGGAAGTTCCTCAACTTCATTTGATTGCTAGATCAATGTGAAAATGCATTATCTGCCTGTCTTGAGCATGGCCAACTGTTGACCTCTCCAATTAAGTAGACTTGAGAATGAAAATTCAATTACAATGAACAAACACTTTTCTCGAACACTTTCTATTTGCAAGGCCCTATGCCAGGCCCTGTGGGGAGAATGCAAACTTGCTCCTGCCTTCGGAGTACTTGCAAGCAAGTGTGGGGAGGCAGAAATACATGCATGGGGGACTATAGGCAGCATGCTCTCCTACCTTATGAAGGCAGAAGAGATGAGATTAGCTAGTACAGAGGTCCTTCAAAGCAGGTATTGCTAGTTCCTGGCCCTGTGTCCATTTCTCTTCTTTGGGAATAGAACTACTTTTTATCACTTGGGAACGATGAGTTGACTTCCAGTTCAGTCATAAAGCTTGTCTGGTTCAGCCTCTTCATGATAATTTCATGTCTCCTCTCAGTGATTAGTTTAGAGGGGAATGGGGCTAGTTTTGGCTGATAAAACAAGAAGGCAAGTCGCTGGGTGCTTTGGGGAGGTAGAGCGAGCTTTGTGGCTACAGGCAGAGACTCTGGAGTGGACTGCCTAGTTTAATACCCCGGCTTCACCACTCATTAGCTGTGTGTCATTAGGAAAGTTGCTTAGCCTTTCTGCTCCAATTTCTTCATCTGTTAAATGGGGTCAGTGATAATATATACCTAATAGGGTTACTGAAAGGATCAAAATTAGTTAATATAGCAGGTCCTCAAATAACATCCTTTAGTTCACTGTTGTTTTATTATAACGTTGATGAGATATTGTATGCACTTAACTTTTTTTTAAGGACTGATAGTCAATTTATTAAAAAGGTTGATTTAAGCATCTGCAACCTTGATTCTTCCTGGCTCAGTACTGCTGGAAGTAATCTGCTTAACAATCTCACACAGGGCTGTGCAAGTCAACAAGTTGCTTGTAAATCCTCATCTGCAAGAGATCCCAAGTCTTAGAACCCTCCCCACAGGGAGTTTTTCTTGTAGTGATTCTCAGAGTCTTGGTGGGCACCTGAAATGCTCCTTTCACTTCAAGATTTTTTTCCTTTGTGCCTCTAATCAAATCAGCTTACACCTTCTCCAAAGACTTTTTACATTGTAGCTGGGTAGAGTAATTCTAATTCAGTGAATCACCACCTCTGGTTCCACAGATGTCTTTCTGGTATGTTTAAAAGCCACTGCTGCAATGCGGCTTCCTGGCCAGCTTGTTCCTTGATGAGAGCACACGGCGGTGAGTTGGTGGTGAGCTGGGAGCTGCAGCCGGCTGGACAGTCCTTAGCTGCGGCTGCAACCACATTGTCCTTAAAAACCTTACCTCCCATTTATGTCAATTAGCCCGTGGTACAATTGGTTTCCTTAGGTGTCGGTTGGTTGCAGTTCCAAGGACCATGGACAACAGTAAGTGAGGACTTACTGTATTTGTAAAACACTTAGGACAGTGCCTGGCATGCAGTAAGTGTTATGTGTGTTAACTATCCTCGTCCTAATTTGTAAAGAGGAGACACCAGAAGTGATAGCCTGTTTTTATGACTCTGGACATTGGTGCGTCTGGATGAGAGCCTTGTGGCTTCCATGGGGGCTGGGCTGTGAGGGAGGATGGCAAAGCAAAAGGAGAGAACATTGTCCTGGAGGACATCGCTGAGCTGCTGATGCATCAGTCCGGGAGTCCACTCTACCTCTGGATGCCTCGTTCTGTGACATAATGCCTCTTTATTTTGTTTAAAGTATTTTCAGTCACAGTCTTGGGCTACTGGCAATCAAAGGCACAATTTAACCTCTATGGAATCTTCCTGGTGTATGTCCTGTTGCTCCTCAGCCTGTGTGACTTCAAGTGCCTGGGAGTCCTGGCGGCACATCCCGAGAGGTGGGCTGCCTCAGTGCAGCCCCTGCCGCCAGCACCCGATCAACTTGCTGCCACTCTGTGACGTGTTGGTCTTAATTTCTGAGACATGATTTTGTGAAAACGGAGGTTTCCAAGATTTCCCTAAATTCAGAATTTGCTCTTAAAAATCTCCTCAGGGTATTTGGTTTGAGGTAACTTTCAAATGTGAAAGTACATGATAATATGATTGTCCCCACCACACACAGTCAACTTGCACTTAGTAAGGAATGCCCTTTGTGTCTCAGTAATCCCAGAGATATAGGACTGGAATTAGTCACAAAATTCCTCCATGAAAATAAAACCTACCCTACATTATCTCAGATCATTTTTAGCAACATTTACTAAGAACACACAAATCTCCAAAAGAAAAGGTGAAGAGTAAGAAAAATAAATGTTATGGAACGCAACCTCTGAGTGACAACAAAGACACCCAGTGCCGTGCCCACACCCACTGTGCAGTGCGTATGGGAATCAAGTTTGTTCTTGATGTTGTTTTCTTTATACTGGTTACATTGGGATCTTCTATTCCTTGTTTGTTTAAAATGGCTAATTACAACAAAAAGTTTACAGAGCCTTTGTCTAGAGGCTGAGGTCTCCCCTACTCAGAGGTTAGAACCCAGGAGTGCTCTCTGAAAAGGGGACCCAACATCACACTGAAATGGCTGAGGGGTAACTCCCAACATTAGAACCCAGGAGTGCCCTCTGAGGCGGGGACCCAACCTCATACTGAGGCGGCTGAGGGGTAACCCCTAACAGACAATTGGAGGGGCCTCAGTCTGCCATTCTTTTCTGTCCTCAGATTTTGGCATGTGATGAAAATACTGCTTTTTGAATTCTTCTCTCCTGGCCTTGGATTGAAAATAATGTTAACTGTGTGAGTTTGGGGAAGACTTGGAGGAGCTGGTTAAAGAAGTCCACCCTAATCCCTTTCCTCCACAGAGTGGGGGCGGTTATTCAATACTTTCTGGAGCTCAGCCAAGCTCATTTCCTGACCTCTGAACCACCACCAATGTCATGGGGCTAATTACAAATTAATAAATATTACAGATCTTTGGGACTGCTCAAAGACTGGGAAATAATATCAATTTTTTGGCTCCTTATGAGTCATAAGTTTCATCTCTTATGCCCACTTCTATAGACTGATAATGGCTTCCTAGGGCACTGGGCCGAGAAGGACAGTGAAGCCAAGTCAGGGTTTGGCAGGAAAGAGTGCCGGGATTGATTATGCATGTCTGCCCTGGGTGTGGGTGGAGACCGTGGTAAGATCCAAATTGTGTTTCTGCAATCCAGGGTTTGCACAGTTTCTGCCTACCATGCTTGAAAGGCAATTGAAACACTGTCAGACCTGATTCCAAAATTCCAATTACTTTTAACTTCAGGATAAATTTATTTAATCAGTGTACATTTATTGAACACTTTTGATACCTTAGGCAAACTCTTAGGCACTGTGGGAAATTAAAAAATGAATTGGACTTAGATACAACCCACCAAAAATTCAGTTAAGAGGAAGATAATGTGTATGTTTAGGGTATGAAGTGATAAAATGCTGCAAGAAGGGATTAGATAAAGGGAGGGACAGGAGATCCGTCGAAAGTAGGGTGTACAAGCAGGGAAGTGGGGCAGCGAGTGTGCTGGCAGAGGCGCACTGAACGGAGCCTTGCAGCGCTTTGAGACTGTTGGAACGGGTAGATGGGGGGACGGTCTCCAACCGAGTGGCCCGAGCGGAGCGCGGGAGAGCGCCAGCGTGGAAGGCTGAGTGCTGTGGGAGACCGGTGGACTGAGGAGAACTCGAGGTCGTCGTCTGCTCCTCTTCCCCTGACAGAGTGAGTGGGCTGCCTGTTGGGCTTCGTTAGATTGTCGCGCTGATGTGACATCCCATTTTTATCAGGGTGTTTAGGGCCAGGGGAAAACTTGCTCTTTGGAAAGATCATCTTTCATCACCATTTGACATGTGACATATAACAAATGTCTTAAAGTGAAGGAGAGGCCCCACTGGTCCCTCACACTGAACACTTTATTGTAAACCTAACAGAACTGACAAAGGTTCCATCTGTACTTTCTTAACCATGTACAGAGTCATCAAATATTGCCAGTGAGGAGCATTCCTGACATCATATTATTCCATTACATGAATAAGGCAAAGATTCTTTCTTTAACACATTGCTGAGCTAGGAACTAGCCATTGATTTGTTGAAAAGTTTTGCAAAAATAGATTAAAATTGCAAATAGAAGATCACTTCTAACACAGTCTATGTCATGTCATACATATGCATACATATAAACATGAGGTAGCATTTAACTTTCTTTTTTAAATACTTCAGAAATGGAAACAATGCTGATGGCTTTATTAAAATAAAAATAAAGGGAAACCACAAATTAAAAAAAATTGTTCCCCAACTACATGCAAAAAGCTATAAAAAGCCAGTCTAAGAAGCTCCAAGAAATAGACTTGTCAACAATTTTAAGATGCACACTTTAGAGTTAGGAAAAAAAATTTAAATAAACCTAATATTTTTGTAAAATTCGGAATGCATGTTTGAAACGTGAACCACGAACTTGAATGTTGAGGGACTTCTCAGGCCTTCATTTTACTTATCGGTCTTCTATGCAAACCTAAAACAGAGAAGGTGACTCCATGACACTGAAAGTGATTAAGTTCCCTCCCAGATCCAAAGCTACAGGCCAGCCATGTGTTCATGCCCTCCCCTTTTCTCCTCTCCCCTCCCCCTTCCCTCTCCCTACTTCCATCCCCGTTCCCTGAAGTTTTTATGGGCAGCCTTAGATCTATATTTATCCACTATATTTAGTAAGTTTGATTATGCATAGCCTAAATTCAGATCTGAGATGATGATCTAGATTTCTGTTCACTGAAAGAACTTTTTCTTTTTATAGGTTTATAGCAAAGGCTAATACGCAGCGACTTCTCTCTCTCCTTGCTCTTCCATAGGCTCACTTTGCCCTCACCGTTCTCTCCCAGGAGGCTCTGCTTGCACATGTGCCCATGCAGGTTCCTTCCTGCCAACCTCATCTCCGCTCAGCTGAGCCCTCTGTCGAGAGGCCACCCAGCCCTCTCACTGCAAATGACCCCACCTCCCACCCCTGGCCTTGCTGCAGGCTAGCATGACCACTCTGTTAGTTTTCTGTTATCCCTTTATGTAGTCCTTTTTGGGGGTTACTTTTATATTATTGAAAATGTTTATTACATATAGTAAATTTAACCTTTTTCAGTGTATAGTTCCAAATGTTTAGACAATTGCATTCGGCCATATACCACCACCATTATAATCAACTTCAGAGAAATCCCATCGTGTGAAGAATGTCTTGTCCCCCTTTACACAATAGTTAACTTTTCTCCCAACCCCAGCTCTGATCTGTTTTCTGTATCAATAGTGTTGCCTTTCCTGGAATGTCAAATACATGGAATCATATAGTCTGTACCCTTTTGAGTTTGGCTTCTTTCACTCAGCATAATGTAGTTGAGACTCATTTGTACTGTTACATGCATCATTCCTTTTTATTGCTGAAAATTGTAAACTGTATAGATGGACTGCAGTTTGTTTATTCATTCTCCAGTTGAAAGACATTCCTGTTGATTCCGTTTTTTTAGTAGTTACGAAGAAAGCTGCAATAAACATTCAAATGTAGTTTTCATTTCATTTTTATAAATACCTAGGTATGGGATGGCTGGGTCCCACAGAAGGTGAGCGTTTAGCTATGGAAGAAACTGTAAACACGCTTTCTGAAGCGGCAGTGCCACATCGCATTCCCCACGGCGAAGACCAAGAGGCCCAGCAGCTGCAGCTCGTCGCCGGCACGTTCAGAATTGTCGGAACTTTTACTTTGGCCATTCGGCTAGGTGCCTAGTAGTATGTCATCAAGATTTCAACCTGGGCTTCCCTAATGACTAGTGATGTTGAACATCTTCTCATATACTTATTTGTTATCATATATTTTTGATGAAGTGGTCAAATCTTTTGCCCTTTAAAAATTATTTTTGTATTATTGGGCTTTTTGAGTATTATACCACTAATTCTTTTTATATTCTGGATACTAGTTTCTTTTCTTTCAGATACATGATTTCCAAATATTTTCACCCAGTTTGTGACTTATCTTTTCACTTTCTTAAAATGTGCCTTTCAAAGATCGTAAGTTTCTGATTTCTATAAAGTACAATTTATCATTTTTCTCTTTGCATAAATTGTGTTTTTGGTGTCATCTTTGAGAAATCTTTGTCAAGTCAAGGTCACAAAGATTTTTGTTTTCTTCCTGGAAGTATGACATTTTTTAGGTTTTACATTTCCACCTGTGATCTCTTTTGAGGTAATTTTTACAGACGGTGTGAAGTATGGCCGGAAGTTCACGTTTTACTGCACATTGACACCCAATCACTCCAGCACCAGTGTGGAAGACTCACTTCTCCTGGGAACTGCCTTTTCAATTTCATTGACAAATCAGTCGGCACAGAGGTCGGGTCTATTGGTGACCTCTGTTTCAATCCATTTGTCTACACATCACCTTTTCATCAATCCATACCGCCCTTCCTTGATTACAGCAGCTATATATTAAGTCTTGAAATCAGGTGACATTACTCTGTTTATCTTTTTAAGGGGAATCACGTTTTAAAGCACCCTCATTTGCTTAATTAAATATGTCAGTCAGACTTGCTGCGGAGTGGGAGAAAGCGGGAAAGAGAAAAGCACCTGCCCTTCCTTCAACAACAACAGTCCACCTGTTCGGGCAGGGCCATGGCCGTCCAAGTATCTCGGTCTGGCTCTGACAAGCTCTCACTTTGCCTGTGGCCACGGTGTTTCTGCCCTCATCCAAAGCAGGGGCTGGCCAAGGCCAAGCACGGAGCCTTCTCTGGGCGGTTTATTGGTAAAAAACCTTGTTCTTGTAAGATGAACTGGAAGAGGGATTCAAATGTTACTAGTTTATTTACATGATTCTTGCATTCAAAAGGTGAAGTTTTCTAAAGCCCTCCAAAAATCTACTTTCTTTTCCAAAATCCAAATGATTCTGTTTGGGATGAACTAGAAATCATTATTTATCTCATTAAGAGAGTTGGAGAGCAGAGGGAAGGAAAAACAGGGAGAAAGAAAGGAGGAAACTCCCATTTATTGAGTGCTACTTATCTGAACTTCAAGTACTGGGACATGGTAGGGAGATTCTTGCAGTCTCCCAACCACATTGTGTTATCTGTCCCATTTTACAGATGAGAAAACTGAGGCCTCAGCAGGTTAACTAGTGCTAGCAAGTAGTCAAGCCCAAACCTGTGTCCCTTGCTTTACATGGCAGGACTGTGCAGAGCAGGGATGGGCAGGAGGGCTCCTCCCTGCCCTCAGAATTAGGCATGAGATCCACATACCTAATTGGCAATGGATTTCAAAGACTTGCACCATGTGCAATGACTGGCACACACCTCACGAAACTGCAGTTTGGCCTGCTTTTTTTCCTCCCCTGCTTCAAGGTCAAAATTTCATTTTCCCATCTCTGCCAAAGAATTCTTGGTTCAGTTTCCGGAGTTTTCTTTTCAGGCTTTTCAAGGCTATAGAGACATAATGCTTTAAATAGAAGCCTTAGGGAGACATTATGATGTGAGGGAAAAGCCTCTTTTCTGTAAGGAGGTGAAAGGTAACAGCATCCAGTGGTTTTCTTTGCGAGGCTCATTTTGTGTGTGGATTTTAATTACCTCATACTGAATAGGTAGAAAGATTGGGCGTTTTTCCAGAAACATTTGTTGTATCCATCTCACTGTGGCAAATTCTCTGTACCAGACACAGTCTGCGTACCTTCTGGAGAAGTCAGTCCTGACTCAGATGACCTCAAAGAGTCTCAAATATATACTTTAAATGGACTCATGGTTTGGATGTGCACTGGAATACTACTACGTAAAAAGCATCCCTACTGAATGAAGGTCAAAGGAGGTCATCCTTCAGGTGAGAAAAACCAAATGCGGACGAGTGACTTTGCCTGAGGTCCCACAGCTTGTCACCACTCAGCTGAACCAGATTTCACTCTACAGGACTCTCTAGGGTTCTTTGTTTGAGGACCAGATTGTTATACACTGAATTTTGTTTAATACTACATGACGTATTCAACTCTATATCAGGATCCAAGTCTCCTCAAAGAGGAAGAGTAGATGTTTTCCCCCCTCTTAGGAAAGATGGAACTATTCTGAACCTCTTTTCCTGGCCATATGGTCAGTTACGATTTTATATACACAGCTGTAAATGGCTGAAAACATTCTTACCTAAAGAAAGGGTTCTTCAAGTCGAGGATGTTCCCAGATCTGAAGCCCGTCTGGTTGACCAGCGCTGCAATCTGGATGTCATAGCTCTGTCTGTAGGGCGAAGACCACAAACACATCTTCTCACAGAGCTGGTCAGCTACTCACACACACTCAGGGCATCTTCTGCACACACCTACTTCATGAGGGTTTTAAGAGCACATATTTATCTTCTACATGTCTGAGTGTGTTGATTTAGAAGCTACTGATATTAGTAGATGCAATTATAGGCCTTGTTTATTGTTAGGGGAGTTTATTAGCTGTCATTACTTGATCTAAAAATTACAAAGGTAATGGTACCTCTCAATGGTCAAAGTGATTTTTGAGGGGGTGGGGCAAAAAAAAAAAACCTTTACCAATATCAATGACAGGAATGGTTGTAAGTTCAAATACACTTTATGGGTCACCACTGATGTACACCAAAACAATCTGAATCATGAAAGGATGGCTTAAGTTAAAATAGCAAACTGATGTGAACCAGCTGACAAATGTGATTGATTTTCAGAGGCCCCAGATGATTGCATGAGAGGCTCATGCAATACAGACAGAGGAACTGGCTAAGGACAAATAATGCGACATACTTGGTGATTAATCCTGAAGGGACACATTTGTGGGATTTTTATTAGTTATTCTCAAGAATAAATGTATTTCTTCTGATTATGTATTATATATTCACTGTAGAAAAAAATGAGGAGAAAGAAGAAATAAAAATAATCTATAATGCCACTAGACAAAGATTCAGCTAGCATTATAGAGTACTTCCTTCCCTTCTAGTACTTATATAAATTTTTTTTACCAAAAAATGATGCTTAAAAGTACTTTCATATCTCCTTACTTTATTTCACATTAGCAAGCAGTTATTCTATAATTCTTGAAAATGTGTTTTTCAATAGCTTTGTATGAATATAGCATGATTTATTTAATAACTATCACTAAATATTTATATTTTTATAACAACATATTACTTATAGTAACACATATCTAGTTTTAGGACAGAAATTCTGCTGCACAGAACATTCTTGTACTACATCTCCATGTCCTGTCTATGACCACTTACTTGAAAGTAATTCTCAGACAGACTGACCGGGCTAAAGCACATAGATGTATTTAAGGTTTCCAACACCTGTTGTTAAAATGTTTTCAATTACTTCCTTACTGACAAAGTATGACAGTGTTAATTTCATTACACCTTTTCCAATTCTTAATATTAAATGTTTGGGGTTAAAAATATTATCCATTATTTTAATTTAAATTTCCTTAATTATTTAGTTTCTTTTTCAAACTCCAGAAATTAGTGACTGATATAAAACCCCCCATCTCCACTCCCACTTTGTCATTGCCAGTAGTGGCGTGAGTAGGCTTAAACATAATGTCAGATCCTGTGTAACCAGTAACTCAAGTTTTAGATTTAATTGGGGCCAAACAAAATAAGAGGGAAACACAACCATACATAAAACAAAACAAAACAATTATGTCCTTTGATTCTATTTCAATTCATCTGATTGAATTAGCACTTCTTTTAAAATGTTTCTGGCAGAAGGCCTACATTTGGTAGTTCTTGCTGTGATGCCTGATGGCAGATTTGAGGTGAACTACGCATTGAGACAAGAAGCTCCTCAGGAAACACAGGAAGGCTGAGAGATCAGCCAGGTAAGGAAGTCAGGGAGGGGCATGCCTACAAGGTCTGTCCAGAAAGTTTCCAACCATTAACTATGAAAAACAAAGATATTTACTGAAGAAGATACAAGAAACATTGTACAGAGGACAATGATGCCTCAGTCTTCTTCAAAGTAGGCTCCTTGGGACCTCATATGGTTCTCCCAACTGCCACCAGCAACAGCCCTGTCATATTTTCCTGAATCTTATCAACAGTCTGAAATCACTTCCTTTCCAGAGGTGATTTTAGTTTTTGAGAAAGACAAAGGTCACAGGCCTCTACATCTGGGCTGGGGGCGGGGGGGTGTTAGTGACCTGGGTAATTTGATGTTTTGCCAGAAAACTCTGCACGAGATGTGATGCATGAGCAGGCACATGTGATGAAGCTACCAATCACCTTAGCTGTGGCCTTTGAATCACCCCAATAGTTTCTGAGGAGGAATGTTCAAGCTTAATGCAAAATTGGATGCAGATTCATTGCTCTACTCTCTCAGTCATTTTGATTGTGATGGCCACACAGTACACACGCTCACTCAATGGCATCTACCGCCCCAGTCACTGACGAGTACAGTGAAGTCATCATTGTTCACACATGTGCATTTCAGTCCACAGTCCTTGGCTGCTGGGTTATGCTGGTGTTGAGCAAACCATTCTCATTATATTAACAGTGGCTGGACTTTTTCTGGACAGACCTTGTATACATTTTGCCAAATGAAAGACACCTTAAAAATATTTGAAGCAATGACTACATAACCTAGAGCAGATGCTGAGTACTCCGAGGTAAATGCAAATAGGTGTGTTTACGGATGCCCGTGTATGTCAGACCCATCACAACCAAGACCTGAATGGTTCCTGTGGTTGTGGGGAAAACTGCCCGTGGATTCCTGCCACAGGATCTTTACCAAGGCTCTTTTTCAGAATACTAGGCGTCATGACATTGTTGCTTTACAGTCACTTTTCACAACCCACTCCTGTTCTTTGCCCATGATCTAAGTCCCATCTTTTCTGAAGGAAGGGAAAAAGAGCTTCAGGTCATCTCATGTCAGGTCACGGCTCAGTGAAAAGCTCAGATTTGTTCTCAAAGCCCTGCCATGGCAGCAGGGGGTGGAGGGTTGGGGGTGGTCTGAGAGTGGAATGGGGTATGGATAGGTTCACTGATTTTTTATGATTCACTAAACAAGTAAAAATGTGCCCTCACCAAAAATTTTAGGGACATAATGCACTTTTCTATCCCAGAAGCAGCATCGAGCTAGTGCAAAGATATTAGGAGGCCAACTGCAAACCCCAAAACTAATGTACAATAATAAACAACTAATAATGGATAATATTCTAAGACTGACTAGAGGACCTTAAATAACTATCAATTCTTTTAAAGCTGTTATTTAGCAATGTGTATTAAACACAAACAAAACCCCCAGTTCTTTGACATTTTAAATCTTACAGACACAGAGCAGGTGACATAAGTGGGGACATAACTTCGTTCAATGTCTGAACACAAAATCATCACTCTATATACCAACATGTCATTTGTAATATTTAAGAAGAATCAAAAAGTTGAGAACAATATACACAGGACATGTCTTTTCCAGGAAATATAGTAATTCATGATCATTTCATCTAAGAGAAAACAGAAGGTGTGATAGTGAGACAGCGTTGGGCTGCCCGTCAGAGAAGCATGGGATGGAGAGACAGAAGTGGCAGAAGTGTGGGGAATATAATAGCCCGAGTCACGCATAGATGTGCTGATAGACAAAGGAAAGACCGAGAATCTCAGTGGCAAGCACAGACTCTAGGCTGGTAATCTTCAAGGAGGTTTGAGTGTGCCCCAGCATAGGACAATATGCTGGGATGTGAAAGAAAATAACGAACAGTAATTTTCATTTTTTCAGTTAGTTGTTATCATGGATTGAATCATGTCCTGCCAACATACGTGTTCATGTCCTAATCCCTGTTGCTTGTCAACATGGTCTAATTTGGAAACAGAGTCTCTGCATGTGTAATGAAGTTTAAAGGAGGTCCTGCTGGATGTGGGTGGGCCCCGAATGAATAACCGGGGACCCCATAAGAGAACATATAAAGGCACACTCAGGAAAGAGGGCTGAGTGAAGACAGAGACTCGAATGGTGCAGCTGTAAGGAATAGTGAGGGTTGCCGGGCACCATCAGAAACTGCAAATCACAGCAAAGTGTCTTCCCTGGAGCCTGCAGAGGGGACACAGCCCTGCTGACACTCTGGTTGCAGACTTCCAGGTTCTAGAAGTGTAAGAAAATAAATTTCTGTTGTTTTAAGCCACCTGGTTTGTGGTCATTTGTTCTATCACCCCTAGGAAACTGATATGGTTGTTTGCCAAATACGTGCTGAACACTAGTGAATTTACTAGGTAGATGCTGGATTCTAATCACTAGCTAAGAGTTAAGATTATCTGTTATGTTCACACAGTTTCTTAGGTTTTGCAAAAATAAGATCCTGTTTGTATCTGAAATAATGTGGCATAACATTTCTAAGTAATACTAATTATGTGATGGGCATATGCGTCAGAGCTAGGAGATTCTCAGTAACATTGGAATAAAGAAATGCCATTCAAAACTACACCAACACACATTATTACTTCATTGTGCCTTGCTGTGCACAATCACTCCTTCTGAAGCAGCCATCCAAACACATAGCTATCCTAGGTGAGGTCCAAGGTTCAGTGATAAACATTAGGAGCAGCACTTGAAGCTTCCAAAAGCTTTAATTCTTTCTTTTTAAAGATTATTTATTTTTAAAGAGAAAGGAAAGGAGGGAGAAAGAGTGAGAGAGAAACATGGACATGTGAGATCAATCAGTTGCCCCTCATGCACCCCCAACTGGAGACCTGGCCCACAACCCAGGCATGTGCCCTGACCTGGAATCAAACCAGTGACCTTTCAGTCTGTGGAGCAACGCCCAACCCACTGCACCACACCAGTCAGGGCTAAAAGCTTTAATTCTTTTATCAGTAGATTCTTCCAGCTCTATAAACCACAAAGCTCATCAAACTCTGCAAAACAAATCCTCTGGCAAACCAGGGTATAGCAGTCCTTCATAGAGATCCAAAAACCATAAATTATGTTTCAAAACATTTTGGCACAGGACAAGTGGCTCAGCTTATGTTTAACTTTCAATTCATTCTTTTTTATTTCTATTTTTGTATGTCTTATATATATTATATGAGTTTCTATGTGCATATAGAGACATATCTATGTATGTATATGTATGTGTGTGTGTATATATTTATATTATACAGGTATATATGATGAGGTCTGTCCAGAAGAAGTCCAGCCACTGTTAATGTAATGAGAATGGTTTGCACAGTATTGATATAACCTGGCAGCCAAGGAGAGTGGACTGGAATGCTCATGCACGAACAATGACGA